CCAGATGGTATTCGTCTTCTTGGATCTCTCTTTCTTTTGCTTTTTAAGAGATTTACAAAAGAAATTGAATGATTGATGGTGTTTGTTGTGTTGCAGACTTTCAAGCGTAGAAACAGAGCGAGGAACAAGCATAACCATGGCCATGTCAATCCAATCAGATGCTCGAACTGTGGCAAATGTTGCCCCAAGGTTTCTCCTTTTCCTCTCAATTTGGTTTTAATTCGACAACATTCTATAGAGTTTGATTTGATTTTGGCCCATTTTTTGTTGGATAGGATAAGGTGATTAAGAGGTTTATTGTAAGGAACATTGTGGAGCAGGTTGCGATTAGAGATGTTCAGGAAGGCAGTGTCTACGATGGTACTTTTGATTCTCTCTTTTTGTTTTCTTTGTAATGTTATACATGTACATTGAAAAGTTTGGATTTTGGTCAGTTTCACTCTGGATTGTTGTATTATTGTTATGATGTGCAATTGCATTGAATTGGTATTGCATATGGATTCGTAGGGTACACACTACCAAAGCTATATGCGGAAATGCAATACTGTGTCTCGTGTGCTATCCCTTCTCACGTTGTTAGAGTCCAATCCCGCACCAATCGTAGGGTTCGTACTCCGCTTCCACGTTTTGCTAGACGCAAGGTAATAATCCCTCACTCAACTGAAATGGCACGTTGTCTATTTGCAAGTAACATGGTTGTTCTTTTCCTCCAATGGTTATGCCTTCATTTCTGATTCTCTTTTTCCATTGAGTGATTATAGTTTTACTTGATACTAAGTAGAAGTTTTCTTGTTGATTAAAAATACAGTGTCCAAAGAACAAGTAACAGCTCTACTAGCTCAAGGAATATCAGAGCTGATGCCACCAGAGGTTGCCAAAGCGTTCTGGGCTCTAGAGAAATCTTCTTTAAAGGTGAATTTTTTTTGAATTTACACCGGTCTTTACTTGGGTTTAACTCTATAATATTCCCAGGGGAATTGGGAGTGGTCAAGATACTTTCCTCATCTCCTGACCATGCTTATTAAGCTAAACACGTAGCAAGAACAAGAGTCGAAGCACTATGTAATTTGCTATTGACATAATAATAGCTTAAATATATAATGAAAAGCTTATCGAGAGGATGTTTTGCAAATATGCAGCTTGCAACTTACGGAGGACAAGGAAGAATTGCAAAGAAGATTCGAAAAGGTTCAAATATGCTGTTTCATACATACAA